AGTTGTCATATCAAGTTTCTAACCGTTGGTTATGGTAATCGCGTTAAATAAGTAGTCTACATATGTTTAAATGGCTCAGTTCAATTGTCAATAACATGATAGACGGATTCCACGTTTTAGTTTAGCCACCGCTAGTTTTCTCACAGCTTACTGTTTCACTATCCATCATCGCACACGTGAAGGTAGGTGGTGGTACGTGCGTAATACATATTCTAAGCATCTCATTTAATAAACATTCTCTACCTGGTCCATCCTTACCTGGCATTTTATGTCTAATCTGAGAATGACTAAATCGATATTCTCAGTAATATACAAGCAATGGTTCAACTTTTTAGCTATATATCGTCAATTATATTTTTGAATGTCAGTGTGCAAGTATGTAATATTTTTGGTTATAGAATGTTTTAATATATTTAGATAGTAGTTAACATGGAAATTTAGAATGTACTTATCATCCTATAAAAGACTTTTCATGAATCTCAGTGTTAATATTCCAACATTGAAATTCGAAAACGCTTTAAACTTCAATTCAATATTTACTAAACTCTAATAATTATCGTCAAAAACTTGTTCAACACATACGAAAGTATGTGTATAGAATAGACTTAACACAAGGACAACAAAGCCTTTTTACATTATTTAAATAAATAATACAGATTACAAGTTACATGCCTTTTATTATTGATTCTCGTCTTCTAGTAAGGGACTTTATTACAAAATTTATTTGTTATATATGAATATTTTATATGAATTCCATATACTACTATCTAATTGTATTTTCATTTTATTAGATCGATATAATAATTATTAATCATGTAATTAAGGTCATTTCAAAATGGTATTATTTTTCAAAACAATAACGAATATTCTATCTTAACTAGTATTTAATATGAATACAATTATAACCAATAAGATAATTATCAATTTGGATAGATAGAAACCGCCAATCATTTGAAATGTTTGAATCTAGATTTTGTATAGATTAAAATTAGATCAATAAATTGGTACAATGACAATTTGGTAAAAGGAAAATTCACACTTCTTGCAAATTTTTAACTTATGTTACAATTAAAAAGAATAATATTCTCCTGTTATTCCAGGCTACAATAATTTTGTTGTTAGGAGTTCTAGAAATAAGCAGCGTTATTATGTTTGAAGGTATCAACACCAGTCCGAAAGGGCGAGGGTTCGAATCCCAACCCCATCACAACCTTGCCCCCAAATGCCCTGATACGGCCAAGAGTGGAGAGAGTCCGCTCTCCCTTTCGAAATGCTCTCACATGGCCACGCCTGTATAGCCTTTGCCAGGGAAGTTCTACTCACTGTCTCCTCGTGGCGGGGTTGTTGTTTACGAAATTGAGAGGACATAAAGTGAATATCCGGCGCTTTAACCGGGTTGGTGGACATGGAGAGTCCACCTAGGGGACTTGGAAAACCCTGATTCCAAATCAATGCTGCAAATGGGCTCCAGTACCCTGAGGGAACAAATGGTGTATGAACCAATTATTGGTCACCGTCTACCATGGGACTGCATCTCCTTACGATGCTCCACTGCCTTGTGGATTAGACTTTCAGGTCGAACGCCTCGAGTGTGGCCTCCTAAGAAAGCCATCTGCTTCGGTTTGGGCACCTGGTCAGTATCACAGTCCTCATACATATCAAATGTAATCTGTGTGGCGCATTTGTATTTGATGCCTCCTTGTATCAATATCTATGTGTTAAAATAAAATAAATATCAATGTAACAGTTTCTTGTCAAACTATAAAATTTTTGAATTCAAGTTTTAATCATTTAGTGCAACCTTGATATCTGATAGATTTAATGTGAAGGATATGTTTGATAATTGTGATCCATTTCAATGGCTATTGTTAAAAATGTGAAAGCACTATTTAGTCGACTGAGTGATGATATTCAATTTACGGTTGTGGAGACTGTTGAATTTCATGAATCGATCAATGTTAGACTACTATTGAAAATCTGGAAGTGTTAGATGACAATGTGGTAATAGCATAAGACTGTTTAGCAGTGCACATCCATGATCTTGCGCGTGGAATTCGAACCTAGGAATTTTTGTCTCATGCGCGATTGCTTAACCTCTAGACCACTGAACCGACTTCCAACGATGTTAGTCTAACTTCAACTAATCCACTATGCTGAGGTGTTCCATACTCATATTAAACGGCCGTCCAGTGTTTCCGATTTTTCAATGGTAGTCAAACACTAATTGGTTCATGATTTCAATGAATGATAATATCGGATAGTAAAATTATCATACGGTACATACATTCAATTGTTTTTCGGATAACAATTACAAGAACTAGGCTAGTCTGATTACTAATGTATTTTCTAATGTTCATACTTGCAAGGAGTTTAAAAAGGCTTATTGTGATAATTTATATTGTTATTACTTATAATACAACATATGAGAAAAAAAGTCAATAGTTTTTTTTAGTCTACTATTAGTATTAATATTTAACTTTCAATGTTTCATTTGTTTTTCTAATCTCTTTTTAACTAACAGGATATTTATCTGTCTGCCTTTCTAATTCCATTATATATATATATATATATATATATCCCCTTCTCTGTTATCAATTACTTGGCTATTTATTCTAACCTAATTGACCTATATGTCTATGTTGTGACTATTTTCTTTTTTCTATTTTTTTTTCTCCTAAATTCTATCGATTTTAAGGATAGTAAAATCCATTCATATTCATATTATTATCACCGCTATTATTATTATTATTATTACTATGAATGATTATACTACTAATAGTAATCATGTTAAACGAACTGATCAGTTCATGCTTGTTATAAATAATAAAATGATATTACATTTAACTAGGGAACTATAATATTTCACTGATTAATAAGTTGGTTTTAAGGACTTTCAATTTTATTTTATATACATAATCTTATAATAATATTATTATTATTATTAATATTAATTAGATTCAGTCATTGTCTAACTTTATTATATAAATTTACTAAATAATCCTTAATACATATATATATAATGAACTATTGAATATTTAAGGTCATGTAGAAAATTTTCAGCTTGTTATTTATCTAGATTCATTCAATGTTTGTTTCGTTTTGTTTTTGCTAGATTTTAGATAATAAATAATTGATAAGTACAAAAAAGAGACTAATGTTTTTATTTATTTATAGAATTTATGTTACTAATTTGATTGTATCATTGATTTAAGTAATAATTTAACAGAATGGGTTTTGTGGAGAGTTTTAGTAATTTCACAAGTTGAAATCATGAGCAAACTGAAGTTAGACCACCATAGAAAACCTGGAAGCACTAGACGGCCGTTTCGTCCTAGTATGGGACTCCTCAGCAGTGCGCGTCCACGATCCCGCACCACGCGGGGCTCGAACCCAGGACCTACTGGCTTCGCGCGCGAGCACTTAACCGTTAGACCACTGAGCCGGCATCCAACGGTGTTAATGTCTTACTTCAACCAATCCACGAAGTTACGCCACCGCACTGCTGAGGAGTCCCAAACCAGGACAAAACGGCCGTCCAGTGCTTCCAAGTTTTCAATGGTGGTCTAACTTCAATTTGCTCATGATTTCAACTTGTGAAATTTCTGAAACTCTCCACAAAACCCATTCTGTTAAATTATTACTTAAATCAATGATACAATCAACTTAGTAACATAAACTAACAATAATCACCTATTCTAATATTATATTACATTGATATTAAGTTATATGAATACTTGTTTCGGTAGTTTTGTTTATTTTTTTTCAATAATCCTTACATTTTAATAATGGAATTTATGAATTAGATTATCATTAAGAACCTGATAACATTGAATGATTGTTTCGTTTTAGTATAAGACTACTTAGTAATTCATATATCTATGATCTTGCACACGGAACTCGAACCCATGGAAATGTATATTTTATAAACAATTGGAAATACGAACCAATAAGCATACAATTCATCTGTGTATATACAGTACAAAAATATCATAGAAAAACACAAAACAAATCAATGACATTTAAAGTTGTTCCAAGTGGGAAATACACATTAACGTGAAAATGAGAAATTCAAATTGGTGAAATGTACATTGTGTAAGATTTTGCGGCGAGACTATAATTTTTATAGATGACCTTTGAACGAATCTTATATGAGCTTGAGAAATATTAGTCAATCGGAAAACAATCAGTATAGAGTAAGAATTTACTATACAAAATCAGAGATATAAAGCGTTTACACTTCTTCTACATGATTTAAAAGCTTGTCAATGTTAGAAAGAGGTTCAGAGGTTCTAAAATCGTATTACATGCAGTAGAGGAGATTTTCTGTATGACTCCATAATAATTGGCCTCTTGAGTCATGATAAGGTCGCAAAAACTCTTTGAGTCTCGACCACATAGCTTGGATATTGTTTGTGTGCACTCAGGTCGTTGGGTCCACAAGATGCCGCTTGTGGATAACGATACGATGCACATAACCAAGTCTATGTAGTCATCTGTAGGCTCTCCAATCATCCGTATATATTGTAGTACTTAGCTGAGGCCAGTGTTAGTGTCACTTTTATTATCCAAGTAGCAACAATTATCAATCTGGATCGAGCAAAAAATCCTATTCTAGCAGATGTTTTCCTGCAATACATAATACATTGAAAGACAACATCACGGTAGTCTACACAAGGTTCACAAATTATTTAATTATCACGATCACAAATAAAAAAACTTCTTAATAGTCCCATTTGTTATAGTCACTTAATTATCACGTTTTATCTAAAATTCGCTGTGAATTGATCGTATGTGAGCATCAGGTACTGAAATTGGCTTCATGAACTTGATATCCCTCAAACGCTTTTGATTGGCTCCTCCATAAATTATAGTCTCACCAACGTTGCCATAAATTTTTATTGTAACAAAAAAATATACTTGAATAATATTTTTAAAATTTGTTCTAACTATTCATTACTACTTTTTTTTCTTTTAATACATAATATTATATTGTTATGTAGGGTTATAATAAAGCTGTTGATTGGTGGGCACTTGGTGTATTAGTTTATGAAATGGCAGCTGGTTATCCACCATTTTTTGCTGATCAACCAATACAAATTTATGAACGTATTGTATCGGGAAAAGTAGGTGATATTGTTACTTGACATTTTTAACAAAAAAATAAATAATTTATAATTAATGTATTTTATATTTTATTTACCTATCTAACTGTGTTATGAATTTTCTTGTTAGTGTTATTAGTATTTCATTGTTTAAATATGGTTTGATATTACTGATAAGATCCAGATCAACTACAGAAATGAATTCGATTAGAACAAAAAAATAGTTGAAATTCTTGTTTGGTGAAACTTTATAAATGGATGTTATTTCAGTGTAATCAAAGTTCTCTGGTATTGAATAAATAGGGGATTGTATCATTTAGCTGTATCTCCCACTCATTCAATGTTTAAGAATAAAACTTTATTCGAAACTGTGAAAACACTTTTAACTTGACGTTTTGTTTTTAAATTATTATTAATATTATTATTAAAGTTTTCATCAGATTATATTCAACTTATCATCAAGTATATCTTCAATTTCATATTCATCTAGCTCTTGAGGGTAGAAAATAGATTAAGGTTCTCTTACTACGCAGCTGCACCCAATCATGCATGTTCTTATGCTTCTCATACCAGATTAGCTTTCTGTATATCGATTGTTGTAGAGATCCATCTGGTCTTCGTTTTAGTAGAACATCAAAATTCAACTTTGATTCTATTATGGACTTGTATTATTTTATAAGGGTCATTGTCTTCATCATAGATGATAAAATTATCATCCATCCATTTACATTGACTTTCACATCCGATACTTGAATCAGTTTAAATATCTTTGATCATTGTGTAACACTCTGATATTTTAATAAATAGACTACAACATGTAAAAACATTACATATAAATAAGATTATACAGCTTCATATAATTACTGAAATGTTTCGTACGAGGTAAAGATGGTGGCGAATAACATTCATAAATTTTTACCCTGTTAAGTTTCTTCAGAACTGACTTATGTAATCAGTTCTATCTAACTTTATTACTATGTGATCCAGACCGATTCTGTGGTCACTGTCTTATTAATACCCAACTTTTTTGTTGCAGTCTGATTGGTTAAGCTTCGTCGATAATGCCTTAATTTTTTTATTGGATTGTTCTAGTCATAGGTTCAAAAAAGGTTGTTTCAATCGGCTCATCTATTTGAAAAAATCAATTTTCAAAGTAATTAACTTTAATTAATAGTGAATCAATACAATTCATCGTATTTAACCTTTATGTTAATGGGCAAACTGTTCAATAATTGATATATTAATTATTAACGATGTATAAGACTTAAAACAAGTTAATGATGAACTCTTGTTCAAACATGTTCAACAGTTCGTTCTGTGTATAACGAGAATTAAGGTTATTTAATGTATAATGACAACAATATTCGAAATTTAAAATGTGTATACTAGTATATTACTAGAATTAAGAGTTTAGGGAATTAATTGAACACGGATATAACAATTGTTTTGCTTTTTATCAAACTAATCATATATAAACCCATGAAGTGATAGTTAACAGCAGGATAATTTGTTGTAATGTCATTTAATATGAATTGGAGATATAAACATTGTTTACTAGTCCAAAGAGTTCAACTGATCTGATCCATCATGTTTCATAGTTCTACTTTATCTACTCAAATGCAACATTTGAATGTGTTTACATAAATAATTATTTCTATTATATTTTTTATAATCATTATCAACTAATATTGAAGGATAAGTTGTCATATGATTAAAGTATCTTAATCTTGAAAACTTTAACTTAGTATAATTTTATAAACTACTCACAAAGTGGTTTTAGAGATTTACAGACTTATTCATGAGTATTGTTAAACCGTAAATGAAATACTGATAATAGCAGTAATTACTAGATTTAAATGAAGACAATTGCAAGAAATGATATTGGGTAATAAATACCTAGAATGAAGAAAATAGTAACTTTTATTCTCATCAATCATGTAGACACCGGACTAAGTTTTTCCATTTATATGTGTAGTTGTTTTTAGATTATCCCGTTAAGAATAAATTCGAATATGACTTAAATGTCAATTAAGTCATCAGACGTTTAAATGAGATAAAAAAAGGAGACATTTAAAACAACTCATTTGTCAGCTATTGCACATATGAAATAAGTATAATGCCAAAGTTGTGTAGTATAGGATCTCAATGATGAATACATTCTACATGCTAACGAATATGATGAAATTGGATAGTTCACTCTTCATAAACACAAGTTTATCATGATCATGGATACTAGTTTACCTGAAAAAACTAATCAATTGCAAGTGGAAATTACCACTTTTTAAGAGAGTTATAAACGACATGTTCATTACCTATAGCATTCAAGCCAAGAACAACTAAATTAGTCATGCGAAATTGAAGGTCCTGTGTTTGAGAACTGCGCGTGTGATCGTGGGTACGCACTACTGAGGAGTCCCATACCAGAAAAAAACGGCCGTCCAGTGCATCCAGGTTTTCATTGCTGGTCTAACATAAAAAGAATGTAGACCTTTCAGGAAAAAAAAAGTTTTTTCAGACAATTGCATTTTTTAAAACTGTACAATCGTAGTTACATGTAATTTTACCATTTGTAATCTGTAATAAAATATAATATTCACCTGCAAGGTGTTATTAATTTTATCACAGTTTAAACATACAATTCTCATTTCGTTACAACGCCGAATGGATCAAGTAGTTTAATCATGTAATATGTGCGTACAATTACACGCACATATTACGTTAATGTTACTAGTTTCAATTTCATGGTAAAATACGATGTTAATGACAGATAAATTATGTCAAACAGGGAATCGATATCATTGTAATTGTCTCAGACGTAGAATAACTCATATTTACTGTCTGTTACAGATTAACTGTTTAACCTTAAATAGATCAATCTATCCAAAAAACTTACTGGTTACAAATAGAACATCACGTTATGTGAACGTCATTAAAGCAGAAATTCATATATATTATTAGGTAGTTATATTTGGTCTGTTCTATGCTATATGTAACACGCACTTAGTATAAAAGTTATTTCATGGCTATTTCTATCAAGCAACCGGACTATTTTTAATACAACGAGTGAAAACAAACCCGGAGTATTAAATCAGTTTGTTGGGGAGGCCATAAAAAGGGCCATTTTGTGTTGTCATTGTATGCTCTTTGATATCTACACTGAAAAGCAATATTAAGTGTGGTATGCACTTACAGAACCCATTTTGACATGTTATAACCGTATCACTCCATACATAGGTTACCCTTGACGGTCCTTGTAGATCTGACAAAATGACTGAATGATCTGTATCTCATAGATCTGACACATTCCTCTAAACTGTATTCGACGCCTGGCGGTTGGAAAAAGTAACGCGCAGCACAAGTGTCCAAATTTTCATCGTCAGACCCTTCACAAGGCTTAGGGATTTCATAAATCATTTGCGTATCTACGTTTACTTCAGCCCTACCTCCCTTGTCATCACTAGATATAGTAGCGACCAGACCTACATTTCTGAAAGCATCATTTCTGTTGTTGATTCCACCTCTTCCAGAGTTTCCCAATCAAGTGGGATGAGATTGATGTTCTCCGTGTTGTATCTGAGAATTGTACTTTTTCCCTTGTGTATGTTGAGGCTCACTGATGCAGAAATTGCTGCTACACTAGTAGTCTTCATTTGTATTTGTTGATATCTATAGGATAGAAGTATCAGATCATCTGCGAAGTCCAAATCTTCTAAATAATTCCGACCTATCCATTCTATTAACTTGTTTCTATTAATAGATACGCATAACAATTGTATGATGCACCATTTGTTTTTTTTGTACAATAAACAGTAATATCACATACTACTAGTGCATTATATAAGTAGTTGAATACCACCTCCTATAATATCGTAATCATTTGATAAGTGTATTAAAATAAGTTGTTTACAGTTCTCTATTGTTTCTATTATCCAGCTATACATTATTACTATATACTATTGATGTAAAGATAATTTTAACTTCAATTAAGACTTGACTTTTATTTTCTGTGAAATTACTCTACCTAGTAAACTAATGATACGTTTATATACATATATTTTTCTAAACTAAATAATTTCAAACGCTGTAATTACTTTCCTCATATTCTTGCTACTATTATAATCCTTACTAATCTCTATTGTAGTAATAATAGTAATATTTTATTCACCCAATCAGGTTCGTTTCCCGTCACACTTTAGTTCTGATTTAAAAGATTTACTAAGAAATCTTTTACAAGTTGATTTAACTAAACGTTTTGGCAATTTAAAAAATGGTGTTAATGATATTAAAACACATAAATGGTTCGCAACAACTGATTGGTTCTCTATTTTTAAGCGTGATGTAAGTTTTATCTTCTTTTTTTAAAAATCGTTTTAATGTTAATTTTTAAAAAAATCTCTTATTGTTAATACTACTTTCAATAGTTGAGATCATGAGTCAATTGAAGCTAGACCACTGTGGAAAACCTGGAAGTATATGCTCGCTAGTGACTGGCTTGAACATGTATATCCTGGATTTCTAGTGAGAAGCAGTGACCAGTGGAATTCAACCGGGTCTATTGTGAAATAGTAACTCACTGATGACAATGGTGATTGTGTCGATTAATTTTGTGGATTAGTTGAAGTTAGACATTAACACCGTTGGATGCTGGCTGGTTCAGTGGTGTAGTGGTTAAGCGCTCGCATGCGAGACTGATATGTCTTGGGTTAGCATCCCGCGAGGTGGGATCGTGGATGCACACTGCTGAGGAGTTCCACAATAGGACGAAACGGCCATTCAGTGCCTCCAGGTTTTCCATGGTGGTCTAGCTTCAATTGACTCATGATCTCAAATACTGTAAATATTACTGTTGAAATGAATTTGATGGCAGTCTCTATGGTTTCATTGAATGAACAATCAAAAATTTTCATCATATTAGTTTTATAAAATACGATGATATTGATAATTTTATTGAGTAAATATATAATAAGGGAAATAAAAAAATCCATGTTGGGTAGAGAAAGTTATCCACATCAGACAATTAATAGATGGTTGCGCAAGATCTTGAATCGATTGAAGTTAAATAATAACACTATCAGATGCCGGTCCAATGATCTACAGGTTAAACGTTCATGCGTAAGACCAAAATTCCCTGGTTTGAGTGTCTCATGTGGAATCGTGAATGCGCACTACTGAGGAGTCCTATACTGGGACGAAACTTTCATCTGGTACTTCCGGGTGGTCTAGATTAGGTTGACTCATGAAATCAACTACTAAAACAAAAAGAAATATCACTGTAATTTCAAAAAATATTTCCACTAAAATATCTCATTAATATTTTATTGAGAATGGAACAGTTATCATCACGCTATATCTTAAATCGATTGAAGTTGAGGTTGTACGATTGGACGTCTTAAATGTTAAAAGTCTTGCTTTTAAAACTATCGGTGTTGTGTTCAATCTTTGTCACAATTGTAAGTATTCACTGATAAGAGGGGTCTCATGCTAGGTTGCAACAGTTGTTCATTGCCATTTGGTTTTCAACGGTATATCAACTGAGATCAGTTTGAGACAATATAACTTATTGTAATACAGTATAACGTCTTAGAGATTAACTAAATAATGGACCGTAAGGGAAAAGTTCTAAAATATGTAAATAAAGTTTCCCTTTTTTTCATCGATCATATCGAATGCGTTACTAACATCATTGTTATTTTGTCTTTTAGAAGCAGTGAACTGATAATTTATATATTTACACAGGTTGAAATCATGAGTTGATTGGAGCTAGACCACCATGGAAAACCTGGAAGCACTGGACGGCCGTTTCGTCCTAGTATGGGACTCCTCAGCAATGCGCATCCACGGCCCCGCACCTCGCGGGGCTGGAACCCAGGACCTACTGGCTTCGCGCGCGAGCACTTAACCACTAGACCACTGAGCCGGCATCCAACGGTGTTAATGTCTAACTCCAACCAATCCACGAAGTTGCGCCACCGTACACCATTGACTTCAGTGAGTTGTTATCTCACAACAGACCTGATTGAACTCCATTGGTAACGGCTTCGCACTAGAACTCCAGGAGTATCTCTTGAAGTCAGTCACTAGTAAGCAGATGATGATTATCAGAATGAGTTTTGTGGAGAGTTTTAGAAATCTCACAGGTTGAAATCATGAGTCGATTGAAGCTAGACCACCATGGAAAACCTGGAATCACTGGACGGCCGTTTTGTCCTAGTATGGGACTCCTCAGCAACGCACATCCATTTACTTTAAGCCTGGAGTCCCTCCGGGGACTACTGCCGGTCCCAAGCCCGGATAAAGGAGGAGGGTTGGGCATGGGGTTAGCGTCCCCATCCCGTAGAAAAGTAACTCGCTAAAAAAACACTAACCAGAAAAAATTATTCAAACCTTTTAAACTCTGCCCTGGGAGTCAGAAGGTCTTCATTTAGAAGAATTATGACGCCTCATGATGAAAGCCGAATTCCTTCGAAAGTTACGAGGCCGATGCCCTTCTGACAACCAGAGCGACCATTTATTTAGGTACACGGAATGTTCGTACAATGTGGGACACCGGGAGAGCCTTCCAAATTGCTGCAGAAATGAGGACATACAACCTAGATGTGCTTGGGATCAGTGAAACATATTGGACGAAAGTTGGACAACAGCGACTAACTACAGGAGAGCTCCTGTTATACTCCGGCCATGAAGAAGAAAATTCCCCACATACACAAGGAGTTGCATTGATGCTGTCCAAACAAGCGCAAAATGCACTTATAGGATGGGAATCTCATGGAGCAAGGATCATCAAAGCCTCGTTTAAAACAAAGAAAGAGGGCATTTCAATGAACATCATCCAATGCTATGCGCCTACCAACGACTACAATGAAGACGCTAAAGATCAATTCTACAATAGACTGCAGTCAATCGTCGAGAAGTGCCCAACAAAGGACCTGACCATTCTGATGGGAGATTTCAACGCTAAGGTTGGAACGGACAACACTGGATATGAAGACATCATGGGACGACACGGACTGGGAGAAAGAAACGAAAATGGTGAGAGATTTGCAAATCTATGTGCCTTCCATAAGCTGGTCATAGGCGGCACCATATTCCCACATAAACGCATACACAAAACCACATGGACTTCACCGGATCACTCTACACAAAACCAAATCGACCATATTTGCATCAACAAAACGTTCAGGAGGACTATAGAGGACGTGAGAACTAAGAGAGGAGCTGATATAGCATCAGATCATCACTTACTGGTCGCCAAGATGAAATTGAAACTCAAGAAGCACTGGACAATGGGGCGGACAATATCACAAAAGTTCAATACGGCCTTTCTCCAGGATACTAACAAACTCAACAAATTCATGATAGTCCTCAGCAACAAGTTCCAGGCCTTTCATGATCTACTCAATGGAGAAGGAACTACTGTGGAGAGCAACTGGAAGGGGATCAAAGAGGCAATCACTTCAACATGTCATGAGGTCCTGGGTCACAAGAAGCACCATCACAAGGAATGGATCACTGTTAATACACTGGATAAGATTCAAGAAAGAAGAAACAAGAAGGCAGCGATCAATACCAGCCGAACAAGAGCAGAAAAAGCCAAGGCACAAGCTGAATACACGGAAATAAACAAACAAGTGAAGAGGAGCATCAGAACCGACAAACGTAAATATGTGGAAGATTTAGCAACGACGGCGGAAAAGGCTGCAAGAGAAGGAAACATGAGACAATTGTATGACACGACAAAGAAACTCTCTGGAAATCGCCGCAAAGCGGAACGACCAGTGAAAAACAAGGAGGGCAAGGTAATCACCAACATTAAAGAGCAACAAAACAGGTGGGTAGAACACTTCAAAGAACTCTTGAATCGACCAGCTCCACTGAACCCACCCAACATCGAAGCAGCACCCACGGACCTCCCAATCAATGTTGACCCACCAACAATTGAAGAAATCAGCATGGCCATCAGACAAATCAAGAGTAGCAAAGTAACAGGACCGGACAACATCCCAGCAGAGGCACTAAAAGCAGACGTAGTGGCAGCTGCAAGGATACTCCACATTCTCTTCAATAAGATTTGGGATGAGGAACAAGTACCAACAGACTAGAAAGAAGGACTTCTAATCAAAATACCGAAGAAAGGTGATCTCAGCAAGTGTGATAACTACAGGGGCATCACTCTTCTCTCAATACCGGGAAAAGTCTTCAACAGGATATTGTTAAACAGGATGAAGGACTGCGTAGACGCCCAACTTCGTGACCAACAGGCAGGATTCCGTAAGGATTGATCGTGTACAGACCAAATCGCAACTCTGCGGATCATTGTGGAACAATCAATTGAATGTAATTCATCACTCTACATCAACTTCATTGACTACGAAAAGGCATTTGATAGCGTGGGCAGAACAACACTATGGAAACTTCTTCAACACTACGGCGTGCCTCAGAAGATAGTCAATATCATACAGAACTCATATGATGGATTACACTGCAAAATCGTGCATGGAGGACAGTTGACAAAGTCGTTCAAAGTGAAGACCGGTGTTAGGCAAGGTTGCTTACTCTCACCCTTTCTCTTTCTCCTGGTGATTGACTGGATCATGAAGACGTCAACGTCTGAAGGGAAGCGCGGGATACAATGGACATCTAAGATGCAGTTGGATGATCTAGACTTCGCAGACGATCTGGCCCTTCTATCCCAAACGCAACAACAGATGCAGGAGAAGACGAACAGTGTGGCAGCAGCCTCAGCAGCAATAGGTTTCAATATACACAAAGGTAAAAGCAAGATTCTCCAATACAAAACAGCCTGCACCAATCCAATCACAATTGACGGAGAAGATTTGGAAGATGTAAAAACCTTTACGTATTTGGGCAGCATCATTGATGAACATGGTGGATCTGATGCAGATGTGAAAGCGCGGGTCGGTAAAGCAAGAGCAGCTTATTTACAACTGAAGAACATCTGGAGCTCAAAGCAACTGTCACCCAACACCAAGGTCAGGATTTTCAATACAAATATCAAGACAGTTCTACTGTATGGGGCAGAAACCTGGAGAACTACGAAAGCCATCATCCAGAAAATACAGGTGTTTATTAACAGTTACCTACGCAAAATACTTCAGATCCATTGGCCGGACACTATTAGCAACAACCTACTGTGGGAGAGAACAAACCAGATCCCAGTGGAGGAAGAAATCAGGAAGAAGCGCTGGAAGTGGATAGGACACACATTGGGGGAAGCACCCAACTGCGTCACAAGACAAGCCCTCACATGGAATCCTGAAGGTCAAAGGAAAACAGGAAGACCAAAGAACACATTACGCCGGGAAATGGAGATAGACATGAGAAAAATGAAGAAGAATTGGATGGAAGTAGAAAAGAAGGCCCAGGACAGAGTGGGTTGGAGAATGCTGGTCAGCGGCCTATGCTCCATTGAGAGTAACAGACGTAAGTAAGTAAAGTAAGTAAGTTATCATCACATGATAGGAGTGACCGATTTATTGTTTAATCCCAAATTACAGAGTGCTTTGTTAAAATGTAGATATCATACACTAACTACATCATTTCCACATCTATTTTGAATAGTTTTTTGAAAGCTTCATTATTCCTTCATTCTCTTAGTATTTTGAATGCTTTCAGTTTCCTTTTCTCTTCTTTTTACTTCAATCTTCTCAAACTTCTGCACGCAAGCATTCCATTTCCGATTAGTGCTACGTGCTACTTATATCTGTCAACATAAGTAACATACACTACAATACAATAGGTTGTAAGGAATTTGACATATCTCACTATTAATCAGTTTCAACCAAAGTCATCAAAGCAAAATACATATAGAATAAATAAAAGCTTCATGGTTTTTATATGAAACAAATACTAATACAAAGTTATCTAAAGTAATGAAGAAAACTTCATAAATAAACTATTCAATTTAAAGTCAGTCAGCTGCAACGTAGGATCATGCATTTGTATGCATCAGTCCAAGTTGCCATACGTCATTAGCACAACAAGATCACCAAATTCATTGAAGTAGTTAATTCATTGGTGGTAATATATAAAAGAAAGATTGCGTATAAGGATATAGTACAGGAAGAAAGAATTAGTTGGTAGAAAGAAAGATATAAAGCAATTTTACTCTCATAGTTTAAGGGGAGACAGAGAGTGTACACACCGACGCCATTGTTATCGATTCTGAGACATGTCACCCAGAGTCTCCAACCATTGGTTACGATAGTCACGTGGACCCAAACCAAGTTGTCTGCATCTACCGGCATGGCTCAGACTAGAGGTTAGTATCTTCAAGCACTGATGCCACGTTTTGGTTTGGCCACTCCTAACTTTCTTCCAACTATCCCCAACACTAGTCGGCATTGCACGTAATGGTAATCGGTGTTCAGGCATCCGTAATACATGGCCAAACCATCTCAGTCGATGAAGATTAACAACCTCGTCAACTGATTTACCATCATACTAACATTTTTAAATTCAATTTAAAAATAAGTAATACATCAGATAAAGTAAAATCCTTGAAAATAATAAAATTACTATTTTGGTATAATAAAGAATTCTCAGCACAAAGTATCTCAACAAGTTTCCCATTTCTTATTTCTTGATCGATCCTGACGATAAATATTGAGTGATCATCAGCCAGATGTTAGGAGATCAGAAATTGACATCTGAATCATGTTCATTCAATTCAATGCATATTGTCAGCCATCACGTTGTCTCTGATTGTAGTTTTTTGTAACTTGTACAGAGAATGGTCGTATACTTTTCATAAATTAACTTTTCTGAATAGATTATGCGACTACTAGGCATAATGATCTGTTAAAACAAGCAGAAAATTAACAACAGATTACTTGTTGAAATATCTAATTGGCAGAAACAGGTAGCCAATATATTCATATTTTGATAATTCAAATCTTTCAATTTTTTTGTATGGTCATTAGTACTATGTTATTTTCGTTTCTTTTATTATTATTATTATTCACTTCTTTATTTATTTATTTAAATATATAAAAGTTGTTACAAGGAGGCACCAAATATAAATGCGCCACACAAATCGAATGATTTGTGTGAGGGATAGAGTACTGTCCTGGTGCCCAAACCGAAACAGGTGGTTTTCTTAAGGAGCCATTCCCCGAGCCTTTGACCTAAAAATCTAATCCACAAGGCACTGGACCAACGTTAGGTGATTCATTCCCATGGTAGTTGGTGATCAATAATAAGTTCATACACCATTTGTTCCCAAAGGGTTGTACAGCCCATGTTCATCACTCATTTGAAATGGGGGTTTTTCAACTCCTCTAGGTGAACCGTCCATGTCCGCCAACCCTGTTAAAGTGTCGTACATCTGCCTTTCACCCTAGATTCCGTAAACAAGACCCACAGTGCTAGATGTCAGTGAGTAGGTCTTCCCTTGTAGTGGATGTATACGCGTGGCCACTTGCGAACATTTCGAACGGGCGAGCTGACTCTCTCGTGCCCCGACCGTACTAGACATGATAATGCTTATTTTTTGACAGGTTCTATAGTTACGATGACTAACTGATCGATTGTGATTTATAAATTTACTTATAAACAATTATATATTATCATTTTTCTTTGCTTTCTGTATATACATGTGTACATTCATATAAAGGCGAAAATTTTTAGTTTAAATAGATGCCTTTATTGTGTGAATCTTAGTGTTGTGAGTAATTGGTAGTATCAGGGCAGTTCGTTCAGGTATGCACAAATACTCAAAGGGACTGGTCATTTGTAGCCATTCCGAATAGAAATCCCGTATTACTAACATTTGTGCTTGTTGGTATAGATTAACAGGGCTTAATTGTTATGTTAAGGGAACAGAGGATCTCCCAATCGGATTCTAGCATACTAATGCTTGGTGCTGGAATCAAAAACGTTAAGAATAAAGTAATTGAGCCACTACTGATTTTTTAGGTTTGCGATTTTCACAACAAATGATCCATGATTGGTTACTAACGTCATGTAGTCTTTTTCATAGTGTACATTGACCTATGAAATAACGGAATTCTGTATATTGCATAACATGACTAGTGTTTTACATTAAAGCAGGTTGATTAATTATCATTGAATTATACACTGATGATTGATGTTGGGTCCCATAATTGCTAAGAATCAGTTTCGGTAGCGTATATATATATATATATATATATATATATATATATATATATATATATATATACTTATTCTGATCCTATTCGGTGCTCACTTCCATTGTTTTTCCATACTCTACCTTATTTTCCAATGTCCAATCTTTCTCATTGTCATGGATATTACGACTTCAACCTCAACTCACTCGTTACACATATTTTCAATTTTATAAAACAACATGCTGTTAACAGTTTAAATCAAAAATATTTTGCGCCGTCGCAAAATAACAGTTTTTCAGTCACTCAAATTATCATCAGTTTTAATCAATCATACATATACAAAACTACTCATACCTAAATTACATACCCCTCAGTCTTTTGAAATAGGCATGGAAACTAATCGCTATTTCGGTGAACTAACTGTTATTGATAATAACTTTTTTTCGTTCACTTATGATTCGTTTATTTGAATGCCGACTCAGTGGTCTAGAGTTTGCTCACGAGACCGAAGGTCCTGGATTCAAGACCTATGTGCGGGGTCGTGAATGCGCACTGCTTAGGAGTCTCATACTAGGACGAAACGTTCGTCCAGTACTTCCAGGTTTCCAACGATGGTCTAGCTTAGATCGACTCAATTCAACTGTTAAAATACTTTATTTGACTTGTCAATTAAGAACATAATAGTTCAAGGAATTCATTGAATATGTTGAATGTATTGGTCTGTGTCTGTTAGACAGTTAACAATGAATTTGATCTACAAACTTAATCATTTATAAAAGTTAACATTTTCTCTATTGTTAGTGCTTAAAACTATAATTGATCCTACTATTTGAGTTATATGTAGTACCCTGCATGAATAAAATGAAGGGTTTTTTTCTTTAATCATCAACAACAGAAGAAGAAAAATACAAACTGTAAAAGAAAGAAAATTGAATTTCATATTTGTTTCATAAGCTAATAACCGTTTGAACTAAATAGTTTGTTGGATAACACCATGTACGTTTGAATTGTAAAGTATTGGGATTGATTTTCAATTGAAACATTAATACTTGGATAGAGTTACCTTCAGTTAAAGATCCCTATAAAGTACAAATTATGTATTCTGTATTATTCACTTTTAGTTATGAATCTACTTTAACCGGTTGTCTTTTTACTGATTGAAAATTCATTTTTACATAAATTTCTTCGTATAATTAAATCTTTTATTGATTATTTTAGATTGAAGCACCATTTACACCAAAATGTTCTGGTGCTGGAGATGCAAGTAATTTTGATGATTATGAAGAAGAACCATTACGTATTGCTACAACAGAGAAGTGTGCAAAAGAATTTGGTGAATTTTAAATATTATTGGCGAAAATATTAATAATAATAAATGATTAATTAAATTAACAATTGAACATTTGATACTGACTGTAAACAAACACAACCATTATCAGTTGTTACTATTACTACTACTACTACTACTACTACTACTAATAATAATAATAATAATAATAATAATAATAATAATGATAAGAATAATGACAATGATCGTGGTTCTATTATCATTATTGCTTTCCAAGTGCTTATTATTTCCAACTTGTTCTCACCAATGATTTTTATTGTCACCTGTTTTCTTCTGATTTGTTTTTATCGTCCTGTTCTTTTTTTTGTATTGACTTTCATTTATCGCAGTGAATGTTGTTGTCTTTCTTCATCTTTCTCTTTGTGTTATGCATAAAGAGTTGCCTATCGTTGCCACTATTGCTCCATCGATCTCTTTCTTCATTCATCTGTTATTATTATTATTATTATTATATGAGAAAAGTGTTTATTATTACAGTATACGAATTCACACGATATATATATATATATTCTTGAAAAGAAAAGAAAAAACTCTGATCTCAATGAAGAGTTATAAAATATCCTTTTCTTGTGTGTATGTATGTTTGTGTGCATAAGTTGTGGTTATTCATTTCCTTTTTTTCTTGTTTTAATTCATACTATGATTGTAAACTATAAAACTATTCTATAAAGTACAATTCTTTCAATGAATGTGAAGATTTTTTTCGGCATAAACTTTGTAATTATTCACTTAGAACATAACAATATTACTAATAAACATTGAAAATAATAATTTTTAATGTACATTGAAAACTATATCGTAAATATTTTGTTTGTTTGTTGTTTCGGCATCTATCTAGAAAATTCACTTTCAATACTTCAATAGTTTAAGTAAAGAAAATTTTGTAATCATTTATGCTTGTAATTGTTATTTTTTTTTCCAATGGCTACTATTATTACTAGCATATAATACTAGTACCATTATCAATACTAATACTAGAATATTTCTAATGATAACTGAATTACATTGATAATATCTCTTCATATTTTGTATGATGTGTTTTATGGTTTAAATAGGTTAAATCAAATGTTCCGTTTCTATTGATGAACTATTACTTTAGAATTGATTTTTCCCCCTTTTTTAAAGAAAAAAAATTTTTAAAAACAAAATCCACCACTATACTTCATGCTCACGTTTATATCTTGATTGTCTTAAAAGAAAAAGAAAGAAAGACATAAACAGAATATTGGCATTCCATTATTATTAATGAGTTGAAACATTCTGGAAGCGTTAGATTTGTGAGCACAATAGAAATATTATTCATGTTATTATCTATTCCTTTAACCATTCTGTTATGCATCATACTTTCTTTTTTTCTCTCCCTCATTTATGTTACTCATTATTTTAAACACTTTGAATATGTGCTTGTTTAAAAGGAATATTGTTAATTTCATGTGAAAACAATATACATTCAAACTATACAAGTTAATGATGAAATTACTCCTTTACTGATGACGAATTTTTTTCCCTTCTTCTGAATAGTATTACAAGAAAAAATTATGTTTTTGTTTTGTCAATCTATTTCATAATGTAGGTTGTTTTGCTTAACATGAAGTAATCCTTTGTTTGTTTGTTTTTTCTTCTCTCTCATCAATTTATTTGCTTTCTTTTATTTCGTTCAATAAAACAACAACTACAGCAACAGTAGAACAAGTTTTATTCCCTTATATAAAATCAACTATTCCCACTCCGCTTTTTTTATTCCGAATTATCCACTACAACATTTTATTTCAATTTGTAAATATACGTGTGCATGTATGTGTGTGTGTGTCTGTGTGCGTACGTGCGTGAGCGTGTTTACTGTTACTTTTTGACAATTGAATAGTAAAAAAAAACACAATAATAATTCAAGTTGTTTTCTTCATAATGTTTGTTCGATAGTGTGATTAGTTTGTTTGTTTGTTTTGTTTTGTTGTTGTTGTTGTTGTTGTTGTTTTTTTTCTCTCAACCAGAACAAAATATTTACATAACAAACAATTCATGAAAATTGATTATGGTTAAGTTTATCCATATTGTTATAATGATGTTGTTGTGTGATCTAATTTATCTAAATGATTGTCATTCTTTTTAATAGACTATTTATTGATGAATGAGTACTGTTAGTGTTCTTTGATTACATTCATATATATATCTACACTGTCATATTAGCGCATATATATATACATACACACACACACCCAATAACACTTTTAATTGATTGTCACCCCTATTTGTTTTCTTCTTTTTTTGTTCTTTTTCATATTATCTATGTTGTTTATTTGTTTTTCTAATAATTATAATATAACTGTAATAATAGTAAATAAATCCTTATAGAGATAATAATAATAATAATAATAATAATGCCCTATTTTCAGTCGGAACATATTTCTATTGTTATTCACATCTCTGCTTCATCATAGTTTTTTTCCCAATTCACCTATTGATACTACTTACTACTTAATTGTTTTTTTTAAAAAAACACACAATTTGTGTATGTTCACATATGAATGAAGAAGAATAAAAGGGATATGCACATGTGTATGTACGCATACACTTACATACGTATATATGTATTTCTCATCATTGTTGGAAAAAATATATAATAATATGAATAGGTTTGTTATATCTTTTCAATGAATTAATGAATAAATAAATAATTTATTCTGACTATTTTCTATTCTAACATATTCGGTGAATGAAATGAAACTAAAGTGTAAACAGTCCCTAATTGCCCTGGTAGGACTGAGGTTGGGATGTGTCAGCTCTCCCACTTGAAATACACGTATACAGCCACTGCCAAAGAAGTCCTACTCACTACCTTCTTGTGGTGGGGGTGTTATCTACGGAATTCAGAGTACTAAAAGTGAATGTCTGGCACTTTAACCAAGTTGGTGGATCCACCTAGCGGAGTTGAAAAATCCTGATTCCAAACCAATGGTGCACATGGGCTCCAGGATCCTAAAGGAACAAATAGTGTATGAACCTATTGTTGGTCACCGGCTACCATGAGACTGTATCTTCTAAGATTGTTCCACTGCCTTGTGCTTTATACCTTTAGGTCAAAGGCTCGGGATCGTGGCCCCCTAAGAAAACCACCTGTTTCGGTTTGGGCACCGAGACAGACACACAACTCACTGGATTTGTGTGTCACATATGTATTTGGTACCCCTTTGTACCAATATTTATGTATTCAAATAAATTAATAAAAGTGTAAACAGTTTTGACAGAGATTACCCACCAGGATAATATTATGTAAAAATTATATTTGGAATAATCTCATTGATTGAAATTTTCAAATAATTTCGACGTTTAATCTGATAAACTAGTTTAAAATCATAAAAAAAAGTAGCTCGAATCAGTTTTTAGATGAATTGTTGAAGTTATTTAAAGGTTCCAATCATTGAGATTATTTCAAATATAATTACTACGTAGATTGAGTCTTAGGTGATAAGATATCATTTGATTATTTTAAATTCGTAGCTATTATTCAGATTATTCACCACTAAATAAATGGATAATGGTTAAAGGTATAGAATACACATCGCATGTTGAACATTTACCACTGCAGATATTTCAGCTGTTAAAATATCATCATTTATGAAAAATAACTATAATTATCATAGCAGAGTTTCAGAGATTATGCAACTTGTTGGTCATCTAAACTACAGTAAATTTATTCTGAATCTAATTGAAGCTTATTAGGTTCACATTTATCAATTGGTTAGATAAACTGAGAAATGTTTCTTTATAAGTAGGCAAAAACATTTTTATTATCTTGTTTAAATAACTCATCCATATATGTTATTTGTATTACGAAAACCATGAAAAACTGACTTTTGAGTAACTAGTAACCATTTATTCAACAAATCTTACCAACTCCTAGATCCTTCAAGACTATGATTATCATAAATGCGAAAATGTTAGTTTGGATAAATAATTATTTAGTAATGTATTGTGTTATGGAGATTGTTGGGTTTTAATTGAGATCATGAACCGATCGATGTTAGACCACCATTGAAAATTTGGAAGCAGTATGGGACTCCTCAGCAGTGCGCATCCACGGTCCCGTACTCGGGATTCCAACCCTAACTCTAAACCACAGCTGGTATCCAACGGTGTTATTGCCTAATTTCAACCAATCCACGATATTGAGCAACCGTCCTTTATTTTGTTTACACAACAGACACCGGTTGAACTTCACTGGTCATAATTTCTCACTAGAACCCCCACCAAATCCATCTTGAAGTTAGTTACCAGTGAGTAGATATTTCAAACGTTTGTTACATTGAAGTTAACCAATAACTCAGAGGAATGTTTAATGCAATATCTCTAAGACATCTAGATATCCAAATGTTACTGTTTATTTATTTTTTCAAAATGAACAGTGTAATGAAGTAAAGTTGCGGAGTTTTTTTTTCATTCTGTAATAACATTAATTTTACCTTCTTCACATAACTTTTGCATTATGTACGAGATGATGGTGTATAATCTATTACTCAAGAATACACTTATAACGAGTATGTTGTAACGAACGGACACTTTTTTTTAACCAGTGACATAATCTCTTAACTTTTATTATTATTTACCTTTTGAATTTTGACCACTTAAGTATACTTATGACATACCGTATTCAATATTATCTTTCATTGTATAAATTATAATTGGTTTATCTTAATAGATAAGTAAATATTGCTGTTGTGCATTATCTATCTAACGACATAATTATAATTTTAACTTTCTCAAATTCAAACATAAGTCAGTATCAAATCAATCTGTTATCATCAATGTAAAGCATGACATGAATTCGTATTTGATCCAAGTGACAATACATTTTATAAGGGTAATGAGAAAGGAAACTGATTTGATAAACAGATATGAAGGTTCAATATAAACTGTGATAATAGTTATCAGCTAGCATAATATGTCGACATAAGTTAAGATTAGATATACTCAACACATATTTTAATCAGTTCAATGAATACATTGGTATAGACTTGTCGATTGACTTGTTACTTTTTTCTCTATTATGTATTGCTTAACTATAATACTATTCAGTCTATTATTTCACCATATACAAATAACAGTTTAGTGATATCTATGATCGCAACAAAAGCGCTCTTTTCACCTTCATGTCGTATTTTCCAC